GCCCCGCCGCGGGAGGAAGGGGAGCGCCGGCCGAGCCGGCAGCGGGCGGGCAGGCAGGTAGAGAGGGGCGTACTGCCGAGGCACCGGGCTTAATTTAATTAAGGGCTCTGAATGGCAAGGGAAAAGGAAGTGCCAAGGTTTAAGTAATATCCGTTTTTGGTTGACTTTCCCCCCCGCACCTTATTATAAGTAGCCTCAAAATCACGCACGAAGGCACTTTTTGGTCTTTTTTGGTAGTTTTTAATAAAGTTACCTCCGAGTACGAATAGTAATAGACGTACCGTGGTTCAGGCAACAGTGTTTCTGAGTTAAAATACGGATTTCGTGTTCGGAATAGTTTTTCGGACTTGGTTCTTTGGCACGAAAACGAGCGCCCTGCAATGACACCAGCACACATCGCCTCAAAACGCGGCTGTAAAGGACGAAGCTCTGCCCTGCAGAAATCCCGTGCCTACCTCGGTCATAGTTCGTAGCCGGTGGCTCCGAAACCCAGCCGCAGCGAGCCGGGATGGAGGCAGGAGCCGCGGTAGCAGCCAGCGAAGAGAGATTTTATTGCCTCTGTGTCGGTTCCCGGCGGAAAGCGAATAGGAACTCACACTACGACATCTTTAAAAATAAGTCTCTATAACCAACCCCCTCCAAAAAAAAAAAAAAGGTCGCCGTATATAATAGGTCGTATCGATAACACCGTCCCCGGTCTCGATACAGTCACAAACGAGAAAAACTGGGCAGCAGCGGAGGAAATCCGGGAGAGCCACGATTCAAGGAAAACGAAAACGGGGGTGGGTAGCGCTGCAGTTCACACCCGACCTCGTTGCCGCATTTTTTCCCCGGAGGGCAAATTCAGTGCAGTGCCACGAACGGGGAAGAAAGGAATTTTAGGAAAAATATCCAAAAGTCGCTTTCCACCCGGCGGCTGCACGGTGCCAGCGGAGCGGCCCAGCGGCGTGTGGCCGCGGTGAGGGCTGCGGGGCGGCGGCGGCCCGGAGGGGCAGGGACGCTGCTCCCGGGGCGCGGGCTCTGCGCTCCGCGGGTTT